TATATATATATCACCTTTTGGTACAAGCTTTTGAGAAGATGAAAGGATGAAAGCTGAAGTGGCAGAGTAAATCTGTCCTCAATGAGTCACTTCAAAGAAATTAGGTTACATATAGTTTTATGAAATGGGTCCACAAGTTTAACCCTTGTTTTAGATTTTCATCTCTCATATAATGCTGTTTTTTGCCAAAGTATGAGTACTTTTATAAATTCCATGTTGTGCCTTGGCTTGCAGAATGTGCTGTCCCACTGGTTTGTCGCAGTGATTTTTAATCATATAAAACAGGGTGTGATTTATTTTAAAGAACATGCTTTGTTTTGTAATGTAGAGGCCTCTGGAGGATAATTTGCAATTTGCACATATTAACTACATTTAAAGAGACACAAGATTAATTATATGATTGTACCACAGTGAGTTTGGTCTTTTGATTTGGGCTGTTCACAGGATACCTGGGAATATTTATTTTGCATGGCAATAAACACCTCTGGCAACTATTTTCTGTAAACTGGAGGTTTGGGAGTGGCTAAAGGTAAATCTAGACATATTTCCTATAGTTGATATGTGTTCATGCATATGGGATAGCGGTAATACAAGAATTTCTAAGTACAGGAAAAAATGGAGGAAGAAGCGCTGCAAACAAATGGGGGTTGGAATGTATGTGACGGAATGTACCTGAATAAGGTGTGAGTAAGGTGTGTGGGGGAAGCTGGATGGAGAGCAGTGCTGCAGCCGGCAGTGTGGAAGTCTGATGAGCAACGGGGAGGAGGTGAGGGAACGGAGTGTGCCGGCTGTATTCCCCCGGGGGAAGGGGAATGACAGCTCGCTTGCCGGCCAGCACACCAGCAGGAGGGTTGCCTGTGGTGTGGGGGGGGGGGGTTGTGTGTGCTTTAGGCTGTGTCGATCAGGGATGACAGCGCGTTAGAGACCAGTACATGGTTCACCCGACTCGTGCCTGAGCTTCTTGGCAGTTCCTTGCACGAACCCAGTGATCTCCCTTGTCGCTGTCACTGTGCCCCTGTCACCGCTGATCGACACAGCCTAAAGTGCACACAAACCCCCCGCACCACAGGCAGCCCTCCTGCTTGGTTGCTGGCTGTCAAGACGAGCTGTCATTTCCCTATCACCCGGGGGAATACAGCCAGCACACTCCGTTCCCTCGCCTCCTCCCTTTTGCTCATCAGACTTCTACACTGCCGGCTGCAGCACTGCTCTCCATCCAGCTTCCCCCGCACACACGTGGGACACCGCCGACATCTCCGCAACAAGATTTTGTCCATCCTGGCGCCACTGTTAACCCCCTCCAACAGGTCTCCTGAGGATCGAACCCTGCCGCACTTGTTCCCCTCCACCGCCTGTCAGTGCCGGTCCCCTGCTCAACATAAGACCAACTCTGCTTCTGCAAATGGAGGAACTATAGGATCAACAACGACTCATTTCCCAGTGGGACCCTCCTTCCTAATCAGCAACCATCAGATCCACATATCCAATCGCCATTCTACTCAGGATCAGTCTTCTTCCCCACAAGCATTGGAATTAACGGAATACGTCCCTTGCTGATGACATCACGTCACTCCCAACCATATGGTGCGTCTCTACATGTTCACATGTTGTTTACAATTTGCTCTGACCTCATCCATTTTAAAGGTGGCAGTTCAGTAGTTACAAATGCCTGGTGTCCCTTAGTGACACAACTTCAGAAATGTTTTTCATTCCTGGGGACCGGAGCAATTTTGCCATTTTTGCTATGTGTTTAACCATAATTTCCGTCTTCCTCATTCATTGCACCTACACATATTATATATATAGTGTGTTAAAGGACAAAATGGGCTTTAATTTGATGTTACATATGCATATATACATTCTTGTTTTTTTTAATAAAACAAATACAAAGCATTTCAAAATATTAAACATTTTTTTTACAGTTTTGGCAATAATAATGTGTACATAATTAGTGTAGTTCACAGAAAGTAATTCATAATAAATTATTTAATTTTCCTGATATATAGAGTATATCATATCTCTGGAATTTCAGTTTATTTTGGGAGTTTTAGATTACAAATTACAATTAGTGAAATACAATTTTAGTTTGGAACAATTTTAGAATGTGGTATGTCTGTCTCTTATATTATATAGCCTCCTCAGCACTATATTTATAATTTATTTTATTAAATGTATTTTTCTTAAACTTTTTTGACTTTTTTAAACTCTTTTCCTTTTTAAAAAATGCTTTGAACTATTTTAAATCTTATTATTAAAAAAAACTAGTGGGCACTAAGGGGTTATTTATTTACAGGGGCTTTGATAGTTAGTATCTCTGAAGAGAATACTGATTCTCCTCAGAGATACTTTGTATCAGTTTGTGACACACAGCCGGCTCGTGTCGCTGCACAACACAGTGAGCTACTGCCACCTCTGTGGCTGTCACGGGTCTGTGATCACAGCGATCAGCTATCACTGTGATCATAGTGTTGTGACCACCTAATCACCTGTTGAAGTTCTGCCTTGGACCCCGTAACAGCAGTAACTCATTGAGGCTGGCCCCTCCACGGACCAGCGCTCAATGTACCGCATTACAGGATTATCCCGTCACCGGTCATTCATAGAACTGAACAATCATAATAGTATAATCCCATCAACAGAAGAGTGGTTACTGGTCTCGTTATTAGTAGAGACTGAGAAGACAAGCCCTCAGCATGTCGTAGTCCTTCACATGAATGAGCACAGAGGGTGGCTTTTCAGCTCCCATTGGGACCATGGAGAAGAGAAGTATCCACCCTCTGGCAGGAAGTTGTGGCTGGAGAAAAATAAAATGGATTGTGGAGCATTGAGAGCCGAACAATGACACAAAAAGGTACACAGTCATAGATTTTTTATATAATGTGTTATTTTTATTATTTAATTTCTGAGTTTAGTGTCACTTTAATTTTGAGTCAAACACACATTTTGATAGAGCTCCTTTTTATCAGTGCAATACTGAGTGCACTGTACCCTCTGTTTCCTGGGCAGTTGTTTTGCTACCTTTCTGTATTTAAATATCCACATCTATGAGTCTACAAGCAATTAACTTAATTCATCTAAACAGTTACAACACAGTAAAGTACATTCAGCACTTACCTCTCTGTTGGTGAAAAAAATTGTGCAGTAGCGTTTTCCAAGATTGAATGGAAGAAAATTAACTTGCAAGTTTGCTGTAATGGCTTCTTTTAAGAAAATAGAATTTACGGGACAAAAGAACTGATGTAATAGGGTCGACTGCAATTCTGTAAGCATAAAAAACAAGCACACTAGAAATACAGCACACACTTCACATAATAGCATCCAAAATATAAACTACACTGCAAAGCACACAACATGCAAAGTTTTACAATGATGTTTCATTATAATGTTCTACTAATAATAAAACATTGATGGCATTCATTCAATTACACTAGGCCTTAATGATGATGCGTACTATGGAATTTACTATGACAAATGCAATATTATGCAGCTTATATTCATACATTCTTCCTGAATTTAGGAAAAGCTAACCTTGCCTTCACATGTACAGGTCTGTGGTCTGTGACTGCCCCGTTTATAGAGGCACGCACACTACCGTGATATATATATATATATAGTATATTGTCACAGCTGCTTAGCATCAGCCTAAGACATTTAGGGATATCTGATGCACTCCTGTATTGAGTTTGGAAAGCTTAATAAAATGACATACAGATGGCTGCTTAATGCTTTGTATTCTCTGTATTTACCATTCACACTGACTAGAATATTCCTATAATGTAATTACATTGCTGTACTAGCATATCAAGTATTCATGCTGTCAAAAATGTCAGCAATAGTCTCAGTTATAAACATTATCACCGGCTTCCCACAGGAGATTACAAATGATTCACCAGAGAAACAACATGAAATTACTTTTCCATGGTAAAATACATTTGGACTACTGCTCCGCCAGCAGGACAATCACCTTCAGATGCATACATTCTCTGGACAGCTTTGTATATTTTTAAAAATAAATCAAGCTTTCTTTTGGTGGTATTTAATAACCACTGGGTTTTTTTTTCAATGTATAAAGAAAAAAAGAAAATATTTGGGATTGCTTACATGCACCTTTCATTTCTAGTATATTTAGACCTATAATATATTTTAATTTCTAATAAGGAATTATTACAGTTGCTTCCAGGCATAAAACTTTGGTTTGCATTGTATTAAAATAATGTTGAGAGGTATTGAGACAAAGAAAATGTTATGGCTGAGTTGCGCTGATTCCCCCCAAAAGCATTTTGATTAATAGAAATACTACTTAGTAGTTGTGACAACATAGTGATCAGTTTATAAGTTAAATGTGTATTGGTGTTGAGTTATGTTTGAGTGCGTTATGCTGTGTGACCTGGTTATGGAAAGACTATCATCATCATCCCTCGTTATCTCCCACTGTACTCTGAAGGAGCTCTGAACAATGACATTCTGGCCAGGCTTCTGCTATGGCTGTCTGGAGTTCGTTAGCAGGTGGACACCTTTGGTGTTGAGCAGACCGATTGTCTGGGAGGGTAGGGTGGATGTGATGGGATTATATTCTGATTTCATCACTTGCTGTATAAAAGTTTGTGCAGTTGCTCAATAAAGCAGAGTTTGTTTACCCTACACTCAAGCCTTGGCTAGTGACTGGGGAAACTGGGAGCTAAGGATCTTCAGGTTGCAAGATCTCCTCAGCAAGGAAGAAGACAGCGGCGGACATACTCATCCTGAGTACGGGGGTCCGTCACAGTAGTAATAACATTTCTCTACCTCCTCCTAATCATTGGTGGTCGGTGGCACTTTAAAACTACCCACCTTGAATCACAAGTCTTCCTGTGCTTCTGCCTCTCTCTTCCTCTCTTTCCTACAATCAATCTGCTGCAATCCTCCTTTCTTCCCTTCCTCCATTGTGAGAGGAAGAAAAGGACTGAATGTTTACTGTTTGTAAACTCAGGTAGTGCTGTGATTTGTTCACAGAGATCACAATGCACAGAGCTATTTTGATTGGCTCTGCATTTCGCTGTCTAATACCAGTGGGGTCACCAGCTAACTACAATGGCTGGTCGGGAGATGGTTAAAAAAACCGAAATCCTAGAACAAAAATGTAATATATTGCAGCTTACCAACATTTATAAAATTTTCAGCTATTTCAAATCTTGATGAAATCAAATACAATGGATGCTGCTCTTTGATGTTTAAAAGTTTTAGTTTCCTGGAGAATCAGATGGTTCCCTGAGCACTGGTCCTGATATCCTGTTTTAAGGGGGCTGCTTTCCCTTGCATGGTCTAATGGAGCCATCCTTGTGTGTGCTAGTAAGCTGTGTGTGTCTTCACACATAGACACAGCAAGCCATGTCTCTCCCCATTCCTCCTTCCTCACTAATCCCTTCTCTATTCTCCAAGCTGCTGGAGACTGTGCTGTCCACTATCATCTTTTACTAGACAGGTAGTTCAGGGAAGCCAAGCTAAGAGTTGGAGCTGTTCAGAAACATGATGATTGTAAGTGCTAGTGCAAACATTTTAAGAAATACTTTGCTGGGTAATGTTTGAAAATGTTTTTTTTTCCATTAAAACAAAAATAATGACTATGCTATTATTGTAAGTCATGGTTTCTTAAAATGACACTATATCCAAGAGGTACATTTTTAAAATGCATTTTAAGCACACTATTAACAAAAAAAGCTCACTCCTGTGATGCACTACAATCTTGCGTTTAGTTTACTAATTTGAATTGAGAATGTAGTTCATCACTGGAGCAAGCTGAGAGCAGTGGCTACTTTACAATACACACAGGGACCATGGGGAACAAAAGTAGCCACCCTCCAGAAGGAAGGACAGTGTCAACACCAATTCAGAGATGATTTGAGGATCTACAGCTGAGTGATACACAAATAAGATTTTGTTAATAGTTAAGGTACTTAAATGTATTTTTAAGATTTAACTCCTGAGTTTGGTGTCACTTTAAAGATTAACTATTTTTATTAGTATATTAGTGTACGCTGTAATCACTTACAGAGTTCCATGTCTGTTCAATTTTATATTGAAACAGTTCATAAAAATTAATTTAAACAATAATAAGTCATTATGATTAAATGGATGAGCAGCCTTACCAATGAAGGTGGTGACATTTTATGCTAAATATTAAATTATAATAACATGTACAAATATAAGTGTTTTAATTACTCTATAAAATGCCTTTTCAGTATGTTAGGTATTTTAGATTTGTAATTTGGCTTATTGTATCACCTAATATTGCTGCTTGGCCAATCTATGTATGTAACTACATCTTAGTACTTGCTATAAGACCAGAAAACCACCGAAATTACATTTACAGGCAAACATGGTTTATATAACACAAAATCAAAACCAATTTATTGGTTTTTTTTAAAAGTAATTTGTAAGAGTTTAATTGTATAATCACACAGTTTGCTCTCATTCATTAAGTCAGCACAGTTCATTATTCATAGAACAATTATTCATTTGATTAAACATTCTTAAGGCATTTTGTTATTAACTAAAGACTATTGCAATGAATAAAAAACATACATAGAATGGTCTTGGTTTAATGTAATTAGGGTTGCTTTACTGTTTTCAAAAATTTTGCCTTTTATAGAAAATGTAAATTGTTATTTATCACATTTGAGAGGAACATACTGTACCTTGATTATTTGTGTCACATATCACCCCAGGAAGATACTGCTCCATGGCATTGTCACTGAAAGAAAAATGTATTACTTTAGACTTTAAAATATATATATTTTAAATAATATATGTAAATATATCATATTAATCATCTGCCAACCAAATAGCCAAATGTTGTTCCACAACAAATCACTGTTCCTACGTGGATCCAAAGTTCAAACTACGCAGTTTTGCCTCCAGGTTGGGCTTGATTTTTGCAGTTTATTCATGCAGATATAATTATACTTCTAAGAGTTACATTGGGATGGAAGATATTCTAATGTAAACAGCAGTGCAATGGATCTCTGGGTGATTACAATAAACACTTTAAATACGGGTAGGTGTCTGAGGTACAGTAAATGTCCCTTTCCTCTTTCGTAATTGTATATTCATGTATGTACATACTTTAATGTGCAATGATACACAGCAATAATTACTATAAAATATTCACTGTATATGTATTTGAATTTAATACATAACTTATACTTTTATGTTCTATAGACCTGTTTTATACCTTTGTTTATGGGTGGGGGTTGATATTTTAATACCTGTAAAAGCACCTGCCTACGGGTGCACAATCTTTAAATCATAAACCATGGTATCAAAGCTGACCTGTGCGACTGCCTTTGGCTATTTCTTCTCAAGCTTTACATTTCTAATCCTATTATTGATGTGAACAGCTGATCTGATAACTTATTCTCTGAACAACTGGATTAATTCACAGATGCTGCTTTCCAATAATTCAAACACAGGGGATTAAACTTGAGGAATCGAGAAAAATATAAAGTAGGAAGAGTCATTTGGTTATCAAGTGTGTGTCTGTGTGTGTATACACTACCGGTCAAAAGTTTTAGAACACACCCATTGCCATTGTTCCAGTTTTTATTGAAATTTACACAGTGTAATGTCTCAATGTACTCTGAAAATAAAGCATAGAACAAATAAACAATTGGACATCCAAAATAAATCATGGAATCACTTTCTTTAATAAAATGTAATCTAATTTTTTAAACCAAAGTAGCTACCTTTTGCCGATATAACAGTTGAACACCCTTGTGGCATTCTTTCTACAACTAAAATCAAATATTGTTCAGAAAGTTCTTCCCAATACTATTGCAGAAGTTTCTACAAATGTGTTGCACTTGTAGGTTGCTTTGCTTTCACCCTTCTGTCCAGTTCATTCCAACCCAGCTTGAGGGTTTAAGTCTGGAGACTGTGCTGGCCATCAGGTCCGGCGCTACCGCAAGGCAAGTCAGGCGGCCGCCTTATGGCGCTGCAGGGTGAGGGCGGAAAAAACAGGGCATTTTGACAAGTACTTGTCCTGCTGGCCATTTCATGATTTGTAGCCTACCGTCTTGTTCTTTTCTGCTAAGGTAGTTCTGACACAGCCTGGATGAATATTTGGGGTCATTATCGTGCTGTAGGATGAACCCCTGACCAACTAGGAGTAAACCAAAGGGTATTGCATGATGCTTCAAAATGCTGTGGTAGTAGTTTTGGTTCAGAATGTCACTCACTTTGTGCAAGACACTGACTTT